TAGGAAACAGGCTTGACAAAATAGGCTAGCTTTGTCTTTTTTTTTTTTTTTTTTTTTTTTTTTTTTTTTTTTTTCCTTGAGCTTCGGGCCTAGAGGCGCTGCACTTCACGCCAAGCTTTTCCAAACGGCCATTGGTGCACTTCTTTTCTTTTTTCGCTAACGCCGGTTGTGCTGAGCCGCAAATTTTTTTGGGTTACGGGACGGACATTTTTCTGCACAGCTGGGGCCATGTACCACCAGTACTTGGCCCAGCTATAGAAGCCGAGCCGCCGAGCACCCTGCATGCCAAGTTACACCGAACCGCCAGCGTGCTTTTTTGTTTTTGTTTTGGCTGCGGCCTCCAGCCAATGTGGTCCGGTCGCCTGAAGCCCAAATAAATAGCACCTAACATTGTGGAGTTGCACAGTTCCTTGATTTTAAGCCACCAGTACTTCCTAGAGTCGTGCCCGTTAACGCTCCACAATTTTAGGAAACGTACGGGCCACTACAGGAGCGCCCAAATTCATCCGACTAGAAACGTTTCTACTCCTTTTTTTTCCGCGGCTGATAGCTGGGCCAAGTGCTGGTGGTTTAATGTTGAGCCCTTGATTGTACGATGCCTTGGGATGAACATGCGGGACACTCACCCATCAGGGAAATACAGATGCTGATTTCTAAGGGACCAAGTAAGAGCTTTTTTTCTCTCTTCTTTTCTTATTTTATTCCTCCTGCAAGGGTTAACCCCTCGGCATAAGGCCCTGCAGCAGGCACGTGCCCGACCTAAGAGCAGGCGGTCCCCCTGAATCTCATCGTGCCCTGAACTCGTCAACTTTTGCAAATCTTGGTGGGCGCCAGACAGTCGCCACGCACCAGTTGGTTACATTCGCTTTGCTCACAAGAATCGGAAATATCCGTGAGTCTTCCGGGCTCTTCCAGCAATGTGGTAGAAGCAGGGAACACCGCGCGTTGTGCCTGGGTGGTTGGGCATGCCTAACCAATTCGGTCCCAGGCCACTGTCTGAACGGGCCTGGGCGCAGACACTTTGGCCGGGACTGAAGCTAGTGGGAACTCGGCCCCGACAGGAAAGTGCAGACAGTGCGCCCAACACTTTCGATATAGGAAACTGACGGGCGCCAGGCAAGACATTTGGGCACTGGCTTGTGCAAGCGGCAGCGCTGCTGGAGCGTGCGCTAGCAGATGCCTGGCACGTGCTGGCGTCGAGGAAGAAGGCAGGGCGCTGCTGAGGGCAGCGCCATAGTCAGCCCTACATAGCCAGGGCTTGGCTTGGATAGCCAGTGGAGGTGGTGGTGGTATTTGTGTATGAGGGGGAAGACGTGGGTAGAGAGAGAGAGAGAGAGAGAGAGAGAGAGAGAGAGAGAGAGAGAGAGAGAGAGAGAGAGAGAGAGAGAGAGAGAGAGAG